AAAAATAACTTCATTCAATAAGATATGTTATTTATTCTCTTATGATTATATATCACAAAAATAAAATCTATTTATTTCACTTGATCGAATTCTTTTTAATTAAAGAAATTTATCTATTTAATTTGTTTCTCATACTTCAAGTTTAAGATCTGGAACTGAGATTCTTTGAGTATTGTGGTCTCTAAAATACACATGAAAAGTTTCAATTTCATCGATTAAATTCTAATATAGCTAGTTTTGTTGAAGTTATGTATGTAGGCGTAGATATAAGTGTGGGTGAGTGTGAATGAAGAAAATACTTTTCAATCACACCTACACCATTGATCTGCGTGCTATTACAAAACAAACAAAAAAAATACATACTTTGATGTATGATACTACACTGTGGTAAACATATTTCTTTCTTTATATAAGAATGATTCACTTTTGTTGAATATTTTTTTCCTTTCGACCTTCATTTTTACTATACAGTATGTGTGGCAAATGTAACATACATATATGTTGTATTCGCTCTTTTACCTTGATTTATATTTGAAACATTCTTTTATTCTTATATTGTTCAGACATTTTTTCATTCGTTTCATGTTTCTTTTCTAGCGCATTTACCTGTGTGGATGATTGTTTAAAAAATAAATTAGAAACTTTACTGATTTGTTAAATCAAACACATGTTAACACTCTCTTGTGGCATCACTCTAACAGATATTGTAACGTAGTATATTTGTCTGAATAGCAAAAAAACAATTTTATGAAGAATCTTAGAAAAGAATAGGCTAAGATTACTAATCAGATTTACTACAAGCTGAAATCGTTGAATTAAATAGTTAATTCCGAAAGAAAAGTCAACTGAGGAAAAATATTTCAAATCGATAACATACGAAAATTGTTTATTTAGCTGATAAGATTTGATAGACATAAACACTAACAATCACATAAAAACTGTTTGAAAGATTTTTATTTATTTCATTACAACAACTCATTTCGAAAAATATATATGACCATTTTTTCTGAATAACTAATTTATTTGTCTACAATAAATGACAAAATTTCATGTGTATTATTTGAATTTATTGTTTAACGAGTTTGAAACTCCTATACACCTAATGAACTTTAGTTGTTTTAAAAAAAAGTGAACAAAACTGATTATGCTCAATTGAAAGACTTTTCTATTCATCAGTGTTATTATTTTAGATAGAATAATGAAATAAGATAAGAATGCATGATTTTGAAATCGAATTAAGATTTTTCGATATATTTTTCTATAAAGATATATATTTGTTGAAACATTGATTAGACTATCACCTAAGAATACTTTAACATAAAAATAAACGAACTTTTCATATATTTAAATAAGAAATTGTTTGTTTAGATTATGTTTGGCTTCTCAATTGATGTGCTATTCTTCTTGAACATGATCAAATGCACTGAATATTCTTCGAAAGCATTCATTCGACACTCATAAGTATAATTTCGATATTGATTGTTGCTATTTAGATTTCAACTAGAAAATAAATAATTTGCACTTTCAACATTCATTTTTATCGCACATATAAACAATGAAAATCGATAAAAATTAGCGAAAGACTTCTGGCTTCAATTATAGAAAAAATATGGAAAAACCAATCGGTTTTACATCGATTTGCATTCAGCTATGAGTTGTATTTCTAGGCATTTATTTCTATGTATGAATTCTATTTATGAAATAAAATCTTTGATTGAAATTTAGAGTATATGAATGGGTGTGAGTGTGGGTCTTCTCAAAATTCACACAAATCCACACTCACAACCACACCCACACACCGACGCCGTACTCCCACACATCATCGAACAAATCTGTTGAATAGTACAATAGCTTATCAGAATCTGTTAGTGAGAGAAGTCCAGTTTAAGCATGAAATTTTGAGTAATTTATTTCATTACTGATAAAAAGGTATATAATTCTCGCTGACAATCTGTTCAATGCGATTGGTTGTCGTTGGTCCATTGCATAAATCTTTTGAACAGGAAAAGCGAACTATGCGTCGAAGAAGGGTTGTTGTTGACATTGGCACTTTTTCCGCATAAATATGAACAGTAGGTAGAATGTTTTTCGAGCCACAAGAGGGCCAACCGAAAGCATTCGAATTCAGCTTTCCAGTGGTCAAGTTTACGACTCTTGTTCGTTCGCCATAACACGTTTCATTACATGTGGCGATCTTGTCACCAAATTGATAGCATTTTGGTGAATTTGAATCGGAAAACGTGGAGAATACGTCCATTAAAGCTCTTTGCAGATGTTGATATTCTCTCTTAGCTAGTTTTGGAATCATTGAGAGCAGAAATGCTTCTTCACATCGATCACTCAATGTGCATGAATAAAAGAGACGAGTTTTAATGGAAGTTCCATTCACGGTAGTATCTTCACTCAGTAATCGTATTTATCGTTTCTGTCAGTGATCGCCCGTCGTCGAACATTATCGACTAAAAGTTCATGGCCGAAGTTGACTGTGATAGCTCGAGTGAATAGTCAAGCTTGAGTTCCACTTGACAGAGACTGCCTTGTCGAGTTTTGTTACAATTCATGGGAAGAATAAACGGCTTATCAATCGATTGAGTAAAATGACAGTCAGTATGACAAACAACACTTGAAAGTCCATTAACTACTACACCAAACTTGATCAAATAGAAAAATTCGATGATTAGAGCCAACATTATTTTAGAATAATCATCGAATCTTTCTATCCACTTCTATTTAACGAATGCCTATGATACTGCTGAGAACAAGAGCACATATTCGAAGTAACTCTTATTGGGAAACTAGAGCCTCGTGTCAGTCCTGTATATCAAAGTTGTGGTAAAGTATGTGTTAAAAAGCTGCTTTTATGAATCGTAACAGTTAGTTGTCTATTAACTTGGGAGTGTGGACGTGAGTGTAGCTGTGTGTGTGTGTAGGTGTGATTGCCGGTGGGATTTAGCTGTGTCTGTGAGGTGTGGGTGTGGGTGTCTCTCTATCTTCTCTTAGCCATTAACATTCACATCCACACCCACACCCACACCTACACCCACCCCTTCAAATAATATTCTGTTACATGCTGGAATAGGAGTATCTTCTCAGGTATCACTCTGAAAACTACTTAGTACACAATTACCTTGAACATCATACATTGACTAAGACTGTATTTCGATATGGATCTTATTACATTGCAGTGGCTTGTAATAACTTGAATAAAATTTGATTACCAGAGAATGACTTTTGCTTTTCTAATTGTAAGATTTTCTACGAATGTAATCAGTATCAATAGAAAAAAATCGCTCACAGAAAATTCGGTAGTCGAATTCATTGTTTTTAATGATTTTGATAATAAAAGATCTTCATTTATGAATAATGATAACGTTAATAATCATATTCATAACTCAATCTATGAAATCAAAAGTACTAAATTACTACACTTTTTTCCTAACCAAAGAGCACCAATAGAATTATATAGCAGAATAGAAGGAAAAACGTTTCTCTTTAATAAATCTCATCAGTATTTTATTCAACTTTCAATTTTTTAATAGAGCACAAGCTCTTCATAGGAAACTTTTTAATTGACAGTAAAGTGTTCCTTTTTTGTAAATTGATCTATTTTAATATTAGATCGCTAGCAATGTTGGTCGATTTAATATGCATATATATCAAACTGTCGAATTAGTTGCTCAATCAACTGGAATTTGTAATATGTCGTCACCCTGTGATGGAACTAGAGATGTAACATCAAAAGACTTGTTTCCATAGAGGCATTAACTGATAATACAATAATCAATATAACTTTGATTTTGACTAATAATCATTTTGTTTTAACTGAAATGTCAATTTTTAATTCAGAAGTACCTCATAAAATTCAACGTAAATGAGTTTTCTTTTTTTTCAATACAATATCTAAGTTATTTGAATAAACTGCTAATAAATCGATTAATAATCTGATATTATCCTAAATGAGTCTAGTTTTCAATATGATTGAGTCGAAATGTATCAAGTGATGTGTCACAGTTGGACTTAATCGAACAAAAGTATCATGGTGAAAATAAACCAAAAGAAGTTCAGAAATGGAGAATAAATATTGGCGCGTGTAAACGAATAAAAAGTTTCGATGTTTCAGGGTGTAGTTTGTGGGTGGGGTGTGGGTGTGGGCGGGGTGTGCGTGTGGGTGAGGATGAGTCAAGCAAACCACGACGCGTTTCGACCTTGCTTAAGGGTCTCATCAGATAGATTTACGTGTAACAGAATGTCAGAAAGAAATGTTCGTAACAGTCTATAGAAGTGTATTTCTGGCATAATTTTTAAGACGCAAAGATTCTGATGCAAACATCTATCTAAAATGTTTTTTTAGGAAGTTGTCAGATCAATATAGATTACGAAAGGACCAAAGTTAGAGCAAGAAGTCTTGTTTGCAATCCTTACACGTCAGAATAGCATGAGCTCTCTTTTACCATAGAAGGTCAAAGTTTTGCAAAAATGTGAGTGAAGGTGAATACCATTGTGCAGATAGGAAAGGTTCATTAGATTGACATTGTTCTGTGTCGTGCCTGCGTTTTATGAAAATGTCCTCTTCTTAATTTTTTTCTTGGAAAAAAGATTCATTGTACGGAAATGACTATGGGAAGATCCGGTGATCAGAATTCAGATGTTCACGACTTATTTCCAAATGTAATGTATTCACGCTGAATTGCTACTTTTTCTGTTGTTTTCTTCATGAATAATGTGTTTCAATGTAATCTCGACAATGATAAACAAAATACTTAGGTCTGACCAAAAGTTCCCAGATTATTAAAAAAAAATATAAAGACACAGAGAAAGTTCGAGTTTTATTTTATTAAATGTTCAATATAGTCACCATGATTATTTATACAAAGTTCCATTATTTCTAATAGTTTGTCAAAAGTTTTTTTAAATTCTTCTTTCGGAATTTTTTTCATCACCTTGGATACCGCACGAGCCAATGATTTTTCATCTGGTTGATCAGTTAAATTACGTTTGATTTAATCATTTAGCCAATAATCACATGGTGCAAGGTCAGGTGAATATGGTGGATGCGACATTATAATAATACCTTCTTCTGTTAAATAATTAATAACATCGGAATGAATATGGGGTCGAGCATTGTCTTGGAGCAATTTTATGCCTTTTGTACCTGCTGACTTTCTTTGTTTCCATATTGCCTTCACGACAGGCTTGAGGCAATTTTCAATATAATAGTTGTGATCTATAGTCTTGCCTTCGTCAACAGCATGTATAAGAACAGGACCATTTGATTTAAAGAAAATAGAAAATAAATTTTTTGGTTCAAATTTACCTCGACGAACAATAGTGGTTGGTGATTCATCTTCGCCAACCCAGCTTGCATTTGTTGACTTGCGATGAAACTGCCTGTGGTAAATCCACGTCTCATCACCTGTTATAACATCACATAATCGCCAAGAACCATCACGGAATTTCGCCAAATTTTCACGACAAAGTTTAACACGTTCTTGCTTTTGTTCATCAGTTAGTTGATGGGGTACCCAACGTGATGTAATTTTTTTCATCTTAAGACAATCGTGGATTAATTCGTTCTATTGTACCATGAGAGAGAAATGTCTCAGTTATAATATCATCATAAGTTGAATGTGGATCATTGTTGATAACCTCTCGTACTAGTTCAATATTTTCATCTGTCAGCTCGGATACTGGACGACCAGATCGAGGATCATCATTGACATCTTCTCTTCCTTCACAGAAACGCTTTGCCCATTCTGCAACTGTTGGATATGATGGAGCCTTGGATCCCAAAGCTGTTGCAAGTTCTTCGTGAATCGTCTTTGGATTTATCCCCAAAAGATTTCGAATTTTTATATAACAAGTAACGCTCGTCTATAGACTCGCTCAGCTCTTTCTTCTAGAAGGATTGCTTTTAGGAGTTAGATTTTTAATACGTTATTGCGTATATAAGTTTATTTCCCACGTCAATTAGATACTCTTACATAAAAAGCAACAGTATTCTTGCTAGACTCTTCTCTACGAGAAAGAGAACTAATAACTAATTAATTGAAACCGATCATACATATAGACTCTTCATCTCTGGTTACCTATGGTGAATTTTTATTTAAAATAATAATGATTAATAATTAGTCATTAACTAATTAAAACTGATCTCAGACTTGGATTCTTTACCTTCAATAACCGTAGTGAAGTTTTACGAAAAATAATAATTAATAATCAATTAATATTTAATGAATAATTATTTAGTAATAAGTTAGTTAAAACTGACGTCGGATTTAGATTCCTCCCCTTTGATAACCTACGGTTAAGTTTTATGAAAAACATCAATAATTAATGATTAATTAATAATTAGTTAAAAATTAATTAAAACTAACCTCAGATTCGAACTCTCCATCCTCGAAAACTCTTTGGTCAAGTTTTATGAAAAACATTAACAATTAATAATTAACTAATGATTATTTAATAATTAATTAATAATTAATTAAAAATAACCTCATATTCGAACTTCCCACGCTCGAAAACCTTTCGGTGAAGTTTTATGGAAAATAATCCCTTTTATGTTCACCTCATTTTTGGACCAACCACTGAAGTGCGGACACACAAGCAAGCACGCAAGCAAACAATTTATTCTTGCAAGACTCTTCTCTACGAGAAAGAGAATATCGATTGTATTCATTATCCATTTTTGAAAATTTTTTTTAGTTCGAATTAAAGTTTATCGAAAAAAATACTATAACTAAGTCCAAAAGAGATTTACTATATATACTATTATAGATAAGACATTCCACTATTTATCCATGCACAACACTCTTCGATATTAATTGGTTTATAAAATTGCCAATAGCAATCTGGGAACTTTTGGTCAGGCCTAAGTAATTGACGTTTTGCTGTTCCTGTACTTGAAAATATTAACATATATACTTTTTTTTTTATCGTACGTCTTTTTTCTCACTTTTTCTTGTAAAGGAACCTGTCAGATTAAGAAATACTACGTCTATTCATCTCTCATTTGTTTACCCAGTATTAATTTATTTTTCTCATCAAACAAAATGTACATTATTTTTGTTTTCTAGATTAAAAAAATTCATTTCAGTAGACTTTATACATTTTGGTACTAAAAATAAAGCTTACACATACATTTTGCTCGTATAACCAGAGTGTATATGTACGTTTTGTTTTCGATTCCCATTGGAAACATTGAATAGGTGGAGTAGGGGTATCGTTATTCTGAAGAAGTATCGATTTCGGTATATGCAAATAAATTTCAGTCGACTTCTGGTAATGATGATTACATCAATGTGTTTAGTGTTTCCACAGTACTTCATGCTGGTTGTTTTTCTTTGGAGCACATATACACCAATACGATATCTTCTAAAAGAACTGGCGTTCTATTCACATCGTTCACAAACAAATGCGCACAGCACATGTCGACGGCGAAGCATTATTTTGTGAGACAAACGAGAAAAGAAAAAATCATAAACTTCATTTCTCTTGCTCGCTTCAGAAAAAATATGACGCATGCGCCCTTAATTTCTTGCTACATTCACAAAGAAGTACCGCAATAGGTAAAGAAAAGGTTACATATAACCATTGTTTTGGAACATAAGTTCTGAGAGTTTTTTTGGTTTTCTCAGGCAAATTGGAGACTTCATATCTCATAAATAGAAAGGGATAGATTTCTGAATTTCTTAGTATAGGTAGATCTCTATCAGCTCCATCTATACTAAAAAGTTCAGACCTATATCCCTTTGTATTCATGAGATATGAAGTCTTTAATTTGTCATAAAAAAATCCAAAAAAATCTCAGAACTTATGTTTCAACCCAATATCTGATTTAATTAACAATCGACTATTAACCGAATTGATCATTTTAATCTAAAACATGGTACATTGATGCTCCCTATGAAATTGACCATTGCCCGCAGTGTTTTTTATTCGCTTCAAACAGACTCGGATAAACCTAGTAATTTTTTTAGACGAATACACGTTGGAGGACTAACAACTACTAATCGGATGCATTACATACTTTACTGTGAACTTTTTCTAACTTTGTAGCAAATTCAAGCTTTATTAAGACTTGTTGGTATGAGATGCTTCCAGATGAGATTCTGCTTGAGAAACAAATAACAATTAAAATACATAAACAAACTTAGAATAGAAATTTCAAATCATATCATACGAGTCAGCTTACAAAAGGTTGAGAAATGAGATAAATTATTTTTGTTTTTATTCGTTATTTTCACCTGATGTTTCTTCTTTTTTTTTGTTTGTTTTCAAGATAACCACATCAGTCACAGTTATCACCGGTAGGCTTTATAAGATGTGTTGATAAAATACTGCAAATTATATTTAGTGAAGAACAATTAACGTACTTATGTCTGCAAGAATGGCTACAAATAACAAATGTTCAATGTGTGAAAAGACACCAGGAACCTGCCTTTGTGCGGGATGCAACGCACATTTTTGTAGAAAACATTTCAATGATCATCATGCAAAGCTACTCAACGAATTGGACGAATATATAGAACAACGCAATACTCTTCACGATCAAATCGATAAAATAGATCAGCGTGGTGAATTGTGTAACACTATACTATTACAAATTGATGAATGGCAAAAAGCCACTATTGAAAAAGTAACACAAAGAGCAGAAAGAATTCGTGAACAAATTGTTAACCTGTTGAGTCCAAACAAAGTGGAAATTACATCAAGATTAAAAAAGTTGTCAGACAAACTTATTCATCTAAAAGAAACAGAAGATTTTCTCGAAATTGACTTGACACAAGTAGAAGAAATGATCAATGCACTTAAACAAGATTGCAAACGATTATCTGAATTACCTTTAGTAGAACTGCATGTGGAACAAAATGATCAAACCGTATGGGATCGTCTCATCTACGTCGAGGAAAAGATTGCTACTAGTGGAAATAAACATGACGAACAACTAGCAGTAGGTGAGGCCATTTCTTAATTTATTGGTAAACGTACCTTCCGCATTCTATATGTAACTACTCAGAGATAAAAAAATTTCTAGTTTTTTTCCATTGTAGAAATCCATCACTGATATGGGAAATAGAGTCCTAGACTATCGGCGAAGAAATAATTAATGAGACATTTCACTTACATATTTACATTAAAGAATGAGATTTTCAATACTATTCCGATGGAACCAAAACGTGAAACACAAAAGAGTTGGTTTAATTGTAGTGCAAGACCTCCTCTATACTTATAACGACCAACGGGAAGAACAAACGAGTAACAAATCAAAATATTAGTTGCACTGAAGAGAGAGGAAATGTTTATTAATTCTTCTGTCTCTATACTTTACCACATATTAACAATCGTGTTTCACAATAATTAACTTCAATTTTTTATAGATCTCTAAGATAAAAGTGTGACATACAGATTAACAGTTACAGGGATACATTTCAAAGTTCTAATTGAAAAATAGCCAGTTTTGAATACAAATGAATGAGATAGCGGCCTTCTTGTTACTGTAGTAGAATATAATATGGAACATCTGAGATTACTATAAATTCAAAGGAGAAGCAATGTGCTACCATACTGCCAGAATACAAGAAGTACTGTGAAAGTGCATGGAGTCCCCGATTACAATGGAAGTATAGTGTTCTAACTAAGAGAAATTTACATAGACCTAAATCCAGAAGGACAATAACATACTCTCGTATTCTCATTGTACTCTAGGATATACAGGTATAAATCATTTTTTCCTTGGCAAAGCACTACCATAGGATGAGTTATTTTAATTATTCTAAGCAGTTTATTCGACTATACTCTTCTGTATCTTTCTGAAATCGCAAAGACAAAAGAACGAAAAAAAACCGTATGTTACAATTGAGACTGCTCGATAGTACATCAGTAAGATAGACAAAATATTAACTATGAATATTTTTTCGTACCTAAATCAGGAAACTGTTTTTGTTAAATAATATATTAGAGAAACAGCAATAAAAAACAAAAAAAAAACGTAGTGATTTGATATAAAAATAAACGAGATTGATCTCTTGAAATATTTCCATCGATTCTCGTTGATCATGACCAAAGGATCAAGCTCAATGATTGTTTGTTGATTTGTATTTATTCTTTTAATTGATATTTTACCGAAAATTAATCTTCATACTGTTTTAGACCATTCGTCAAAAGTAATTGCTCAAGAGGAAGAATGTTGGTTTTGCGGGAAAAGAGCTACTTTAAAATGTGCAAAATGCCGCGTTGCAACCTACTGTAACGTAAAATGTCAAAAACAAGACTGGAAAAACCATAAACTCAACTGCAGTTCAACTCAAGTGATGACTTCCGCTGACTATTTAGTAAAAGCTGTCATGAAAGATGAGTACCCCGAAAATCTGGATACTCTTCATGACTTCGGTTTCTCCAGATGTCTTGTACAAGAAGAAAGAACATTTCTTTTTGGTCTCTATGTGGGACTCATCAAAATACTTGGAGTGAGTAGTAAACAATTGCTTCAGTGGAAACAGGCTAACGAGCTGGCTCTCAACATTCGAAAAACATACGAAGCTGTTGGAGAGCGAGCAACTTTTAGTGGTTATTACGTTTGGTTCTTGAAAAATCAACACTTAGTAGACTCTCGAACACCAAGAGCAGATTTTCCACAACTTATTCAAGGATATCTTTCTCCAGAAGATAAGAACAAGGATCTAGATAAACTTGAACCCGAATCAAAGCGCCGTTCAATAGGTCTTTATCTTGTGTTATTAATGGACAATATTCCACGTATTGAAATGGATGTATGGGTTGATTTCGGATTCTGTACATGCAAAAATCAAGCGATGGAAGCTGAGTTGGGACGAGTATATCGTGCACTTATTGATCAATGCACTCTCTATGAATTCTACAAGAATTATGAGGGGAAATCTTTGGAAGTTCTTATTCGATCAAAAAATATCGCTAATGCTGATTATCTGAAATCAAGTGGTGTTGTTTTTGGAAATCCTTCTAAGAGCGTGTACTACTTGAAGCAGTACGTGCTTGCAGAAGGTGTACGTCTAAAACTCTCTGTTGGCATTGATTATGGCTTCAATTTGTGCAAAAACAAAAACCAAACACAAAAATTAAGAAACATTTACAAACAATTATTTGAACATCCAAAATTTGACTTTCTTGATTTACATCAAGCTTGTATATCGGGAATGCTTTACAAATATGCTAGTCAGTTTGTTTCTGCTGATGCCAACTTGATGTGCAATCCTTATCCTTTACCAGACATCTAAATTTGTTGCTCCATACTGCTTGTCCAACATTTTCATATTATTCAAACATTTACTCAAAACTATATTAATCTTCAAATATAGGGTGTGGGTGTGAGTGGTTGTGGGGTGTGGGTGGGTGGATGTGGGTGTGGGTGTGGATTGAAGTGTTTTCTGACTTAAATAAATTCCTAACTATACTTGCACTCACCTACACCCACTCGCACACCCACATCCACATTAGCTGCTGCTCATCTTGGTGTACAAAAAATTCTTGAACGATATACCTGAAACCTAAAACTTTCTCTTTTTCATACAGCAAGTGATAATGATTTGAATGGACATGAAAAATATGCACGAAATGCTGTTGGAGAATAACTTGATCATATTTACAAATAAAGCAGTGTTAATATCGAACGTATGCATAAGGGTCAGTGTGAATGTGGATGTTGACGTCGTTTTGCACGAAGATGTGTATGTTCGTGTGATTCTTCTTGTCATCCATTACAGTGATACCCATACAACAATACGCACACTAACAAGCACGCGTATACCAAGAACTGAATCGAAAAAACTTAAAATTTTCAAATTTATACTCTTATGTGCGGTGGATGTGAGTCTTCTCTAAAATCACACTCATATTCAAGATCATATGATGAAGTTAAACAAGGAAATATTACAACCATAGGATAGATAAAAACAACGAATAAAAAAATACATGTAAGCTAAGAAAATAAATCAATAAAGAAAACTTGCAATAGTTGCCTTCTTGAAAGCTTAACATATTATTGGATAAATGGGCATTTCAAAGAAGCTTATTTCTTATTGAATAACTCGTTCAAAAAAAAAAGATAGATGATTTCTATCCAAAGCTTTTTGAACAACTTTCTACCCACCTTGGTATTGATTCATTACTATTTCAATCGATATATAGTTTTTTTTCTTATTATATTACCTTCACTAAGAATATTTACTAGCATACTCTATTTAATAGTTTTTCATTCCATATGCAAGGTCAAAATAACGCTTACAAGGTAATAGTTGACAATCTAAAATCCAGATTTATTATTTTGACCATTTTTTTTTAATAATTCTATGACAATTGATGCGTGTTGTCTATGAATTTATTGATAATAAGCAGACACATAAAGAGTTTTTTTTCCTACTCTTTGATACATTCGTTTAAAAAAAAAATCAAAACAAACCCTACATCGTTTTGATCATCAATGAGTTTCTTTGAAATTTTATCATCTTTAATTATTTTATTGTGTAGTTTATTGGGTATTGGTTGTGCATTTATATTCATTATTATACTAATTATTTATCGTCAATGTCGTACAATAACTACTTTACTTATACTTAATTCTATCATAGCTGGTTTTATTGTCAATGTAATGTATGTTTATCAAGTGATATCTCAATTAACTAGTGATGGAAATGATAAACTATGTATATTACGTGGTTTTCTTTTACAAAGTGGATGTGGTCTTCTCTATCATACATTATGTGTTCAAGCACTTTATCGTTTTTTTGCTACTATACCTAAACGACAACAATATCTTCAATCGAAATATACAATTACATTTATTGTATTAGTACAATGGTTTATTTCAATAACTTTTAATCTTCCGATTCTTATTGATGGTCGAATAAAGTTTCAAGTAAACTATCGTGTTTGTCAGGTACATCGATATTGATATATTTATTTTTTTATTTCTGAAAAATAAATTAATTTGTTTAGGTATTAATGCAGGATCTCTATGGTTTTCTTTATCTTTCAATATGGATTTATTTTTTTCCATTAATAATTATTATAGGAATTTATACTCGACTTTTAATATATATTAAACAAAATCCATATCGTTTGATTATTCATCAAAATATATTTAAACGACAACGACAAAAATATGAATTTCATATTTTTCGTCATATTATTATTCTTATCATAATTCTTATTATTATGCAATTTCCTAATCTTCTTGTTTTTTTTATTATTCAATTAACTGATATAATAATATCTAATTATATACAACGAATATGTTTCATGTCGATTTCATTTGGTCAAAATATAACAATGTTCATATGCTTGATTGATAATCATCAAATTCGAAAATGTTTTAAAAAAGTAATTAGAAAAGTAAAACAATGCTAGAGATAATAATAACATATATATATTAATTTCATATTTAAATATTTTTCTTTTATATAACATGAATATATGAAAATATACTAGAACTCTTATATAATTAGAAATATTAAACAAAAAAAAATAGTTTAATTTAGTTGAAACTATAATTTTGTATTATGTTTATTATATTCACAAAGAAAATTGTTATATATGATTATCGAACAAGAAAAAAAAGAATCAGAACAGAAAGTATAATATATTTTCTATTGAAATTTGGCATTAATACTGATTATTTTTGTAAAATACTATCAAATAGAAAAATTTTGTTGTTTTACATTTTTTCGAACATATCGTACTTTATTATTATTATTACTTTTTTGTTATTTGTATGAACTGTTGATGACAGAATTAGTATAAGATTCTGCATAGCAACGATTTAAATCTGTAAAAAAAGGAACATTTATTCTTAGAAGAACAGACACATAATTGGTACTACAAAAGCCATTGACTTTACGAGGGTTAAGTTGATTTGCAGACGAACGTCATCACATCTTATAAATACATTACCAGACATCTGTTCAATTATGTATATCACAATCATAGAAAAAAACAATGTGTCATATGTAAAAAAAAACTTGTTTTATAGTTGGTGCTTCTATCAATTAAAAAATTATAAAAGGTGTTCCAGAAGTTCTGAAACGATTTTAAAATTTATCGTTCTCGCATTCAACAAATGCAAACTCTTTGAAACTTTGACATATTATTGCACATATGTAGTGCCACATAACTACAAAGTTTGAGATCTATAGGTTCTACTGTAGAGGAGAACCTGTAACAACACTATGATGTACTATTTTAAAAATTTTCCTGTATCCCGAGTCTACCAAAATATCTATATTTCGGCTTAGGTAGATGATAAAATCTTGAATTTTTTTTTAAAAGCTGCGCCGTGAAAAGCTCTACAAAAATTGTAATAACAAATCCCTATTGACTTGTGTTAATGGTTTCTGCCATACACAAAATGAAAAACCTACATGATGGTACTACTTCTCACCATATTGTGCGTAATAAAAAATGTTTGGAAGAACATTTTGTTTTGCATGTATCTCAGCTTGAGAAAATGATAAAATCTTGATTTCTTTTTCAAAAGATGCACCGTCGAAAGCTCTACAAAAGCTATATAAACAAATTCCTATTGGAAAGCAAAAAGGTCTTCCAAACCTTTTTTTTCATTACGCATAATATGGTGAAAAGTAGTACTACCATACAGGTTTTTCATTTTGAGTATGGCAGAAACCATTAACACAAAGTCAATAGGGATTTGTTATTGCACTATCTGTAGAGCTTTTCACGGTGCATCTTTTAAAGAAAAATTCAAGATTTTATCATTTACCTAAGCCAAGATATAGACGTAATAAAAAAATGTTGCACATCTCGAAGATGACCAGGAAAATTTAAAAAATAGTACATGTCAGTATTGTTACAGTTTCTCATCCATAGTAGAACCTATAGACCTCAAACTTTATAGTTATGTAATACTATATATGTACAACAATCTACTAAAGTTTGAACAAATTTGCTTTTGTAGAATGCGAGAACGATAAATTTTAAAATCGTTTCAGAATTTCCAGAACACCCTTTATGATAAAAATCGAATTGCTTAAGTGATCAGTTACTAAGTAACGGAAAATTCGTCATCTTGATTTTTCTCTTTATAGATATTCATTATTTTCTTGAAGAATCTTTCTAGCTTTTTCTTTTTTGAATTACTTCTTTTGATGAATTGAGCTATATGAAAATGACACCTTTCAAAAAAAAGATATTTAGAAATTTGTTTAATACTATCTTCATTGACTGCTTATGTCATTAAATTCAATTGACATAGTTACATGAGCGATGGAACTGATTTTCATCCTTTTCATCTAAACCAGCCAAGAAAATCAATTGAAAAGCACTATAGATTTTCTTGTTAGACTTAAATTCTGTGTTAATAATACAAGAACTATTCACATATCTTTTTTTTATCTTGACAGACATCGGACAGTTTGACATAATTTTTATTAGAAAAAAATATCTTTTCATGTTAAATTCCATTTATACAAAACAGACTTTGACATACATATATATAGAGAGAGACAGAGAGAGGGAGACATTTTCACTGTATAAAATTTTCTATTCAATTATAATCACTCGTTCTTCAATAAAATTTCTTCCATTATCATAATCATCATTTAATCTTAAATCTTGTCGAGTAATTTTTGTTGTTTGTGATTGTTGTATTAATTCTGTTAAAGTTCTTTCTGTACATTTAGCTATAAAACGTATTAATGGTCGAATATCACCATCATTAGCTTGTTTTAAATGTGAATAATAAATAAAACGTTCAGATTTTTTTATTATTACTGGTGGATAACCAAATTTCATTAATATTAAATTCATTAATAAACGTCCTGTACGACCATTACCATCAATAAATGGATGAATATAAACAAATTTATAATGTGCTATAGTAGCTAATTCAATAGCATGAAGATCACGTGTATCATCTAATGAATTAAGCCATTTAAGAAAATCATCAAGATATTCAGGTAAATCATTATATATTGGTGGAATAAATGAACCAACATAAACTTGTTGTTTACGTAATTGACCTGCTTCAATAGGATTAACAAAACCTAAAACACGTCGATGAATTTCAAGTATATCTTCAAGTGTTATTAAACCAAGACGATTAACTAATGTACAATTAACATATTGTAAAGCTAAATCAAGACCAAGAACTTCTTGTTGTTCAATAAGTGATTTACCACCAATAGCCAAATGTGTTTCAATAATATATTGTGTTTCACGAAGATTTAATGTATTACCTTCAATACCATTTGAATGATATATATGTAAATAATAAGCATTACGTTTAGCACGTCTTAAATATGGATTTGTATCTGGTATTCGATAAAATTCTTTAAGTATATTATCAATAAAATAAAAATATTTTTGATCAATTTCTTCAACTAATGGTAATGTACGTTTTTTTAATTCTAATGCTCGAAGATTAGTTGGTTGTTTAACAAGTGCACGTGTATAATAATGTTCAGCATTTATTAAATCATTATGATGATATTCAAGAAATTGTCCATATTCAACAAGTATTTCAGAATTTGATGGATCAAGATTTAATGCATGTTCAAATACTTTTCGTGCTTTTTTAAATTTATTTGATGTTATTAAATTAAGTGCTGAATGAAGAGCTATTACAGCTTCATGACGAAGATCTATAATTAAAAAAATAAAATTTATTCAATAGTAAATGATTGAATTAAGAGTATGTACCTCATGTAGTACCTATAATAAGCTATGAATACTCAAAAAAAAAGAGGTTGAGCCAACAGCTTATTGATGTCGAGATCAATGGCGTAGCCAGGAGTAGGGCAATTGCCCATAGATATTTTTGAAATCATAACGATTGTTCTTAGGTGCCCGTAACTCAAAATAGTTCGGCTGATGAATTGCCCATGACTCAAAAATTCCTGGCTACGTCACTGGTCGAGATACTGCATTTTTAAAATACTTCTTTAACAGAATACCATGATGCCTCTCAAACATATTAGGAAAACTAATTTTCGAATATCGACTTGAAACTTTGCATATAGATAGACCTATGTGAAAAGTTTTAAGCGCAAAATCAATCTTCCTAGTGTTCTTGAGAGACACCACAGTATTCTGTCAAAAAAAAAGTACTTTAAAAATGCAGTAGCTCAACAACAATAATCCACAAGCAATTAGGCAATTGAAAACGTTCTCTCATTAGTTTCATAAAACTTTCAAATGAAGAAACAAATGAATAATGTCGAATATACTTTAAGGATACCCTCCCCCCTTTTCTCGCCCAAAATTTTTGTTTTTTTGTGGCCATTGTATAGTTTCAAGTAGTGTCTATCTACTGACTATATTTTGAAAATCAACAATTGCTTTTAAAGATTAAAAAAATTCGAGGAGAAATTAAATTTACATAGTGAAAATTTTATATATTTTTTTTCTCAAAATCAAATTTTTAGTAGGAAAAGTACTGTTTCGCCTCCTGTTTCTCCCGCATGGTAAGCTGAAACTTTTTTTTTACATATTCTACTCACCATTTGGGGTGAGTATTATTTTTTTTCTTTTCAAGAATTATTGCTCTGGTGATTTTTGACAGCTTTCACAAAATTTGCTAGAGGAAGCGTTTTTTAGACTAGGCGCAGTATTTTGACTTTTTTATTGAAACAACAAAAGATAAAAAAAAATATGCACCCCAAACAGTGTCTACTACCCGTAAAAAATACCGTCTTGAAGAAACGGGAGGAAAACTAGGGCCATTTTTCGATATTGTGATCCTATTATCTCATAGAAGACAGCATCAAGGAATTTTGAGTTTATGACAACTTTTGCTGTACTCATCAAGATCTATCTGTGCTGAAAATTTCAAATTTTTCTTATGAGCCGTTCTCAAAAAATCCCGAAAAGGGGGGGGGGGGGGGGGCTTTAATTCAAAGAACATACTTTACTTCTGTAAGGCTTCGGAAAAATCGTATTTCCAAAAACTAATCAATTTTTCATCATCTTACATGTGTAGTTTTATAAAATCTCAGAAATGAATATGTTATTGTTATAAATTTGCGCCGATGGCTCATTAAAATGAACAATTATCGATTAATTATTCGACTGCTATCTTTACATAAACTATTTTGATTTCATTCTCTTTCCTGATGACTAACAAATTCTAATAAATAAATTTTACCATTAGAAATATTATTTTGTTGTGAATGATTTTTTGTATATATTTGTATTTTTTCTAATAAATCTTGTTCTTGATATTGATTTTGTAAATCACGATAATTTGTTGGAGAATAATATAAAGATATAATATCTGATGGAAAAAATATATGACTTGTTATTTGTAAATTAAATGATGATGAGATTGATAATGGAGATGTTTTAAAAAATAAAATAAATAATAGAATATTAATTATAATCGTTGTAAAAAATGAAAGAAGAAGAAAAAAACATATTTTCATTATTGATTGATGAAATTTGATTAATAAACATCGTTCCATAAGTTGATAAAAAGATTGACGTATAATCAAAGAATAAATTATTGGCATTTAGAATAGATAATTTTAATTTATACATTGTACATAGTGTTCAAAAAGCAAAAAAAAACGGCGCAAAAATTATAAATTTATGCAATAAAAATCATTTTAATGAATATTTTATATTATAAATGATAAGTTTTTTCATGACTGATGACGAGCAAGTCAATGAATGGTCCAAATAATTAATCAATAAAAAAGATAAATTATTATAGATAGCGCTAGATATGAGTTATTTACTCTATATATTAATAAAAATTTTTATTTGTATACAAGACAAAAAAGAAAAGTGACTCAATCTATCTACTTTATTAGAATATAAAAGAAAAGTGTTTAAGTTTATTTATTTTTTTTTTTGTTCAACCAAATATGTCAAAAAAAAAGAAATTAAACGCCAGTGTAAAGTGAAAGAAAATAAATATAAAGTAAAAATATTGGATAAAGAAGAAGTGTTTTTTTTTGTTGAAGTTCTTCAACACATAATAATGTTGCTGCTGAATATGTTGACCATATAACACCCATTAACTATAATTAAATTATTAAATACAGTTAAAAAAAAAAAATTTTTTTACTTTTATAAATAAAGCTAAATAATGAGCATTTTTTACAATAGGACTTATAAAAGCAACCAAAAGTAATGGAAGAAGTGAATAACCAATTGTACCAACAATTTGAGAATACGAAACCTATATGAAATAAAAATTGTATATTATTTTGTAAATCATTTGTTATTAAATATATATAATGAATTAACCTCTCCACCAAGAACACGAGCCAATATAAATATTCCAAGTGAACCAAAAATCCATATTGTTATAATCCATGAAACAACCTTTAAAACAAATTTTATATGATATAATTTATTATTAAAATAATAATATTTACACGAAATTGACCATAAACTGATAGTAAAGCAAAACAGAGAACAACGAGTAACTAAGATGAAAAGAAAGAGAATTTCAATAAAAAAATAAAAAAAATTATTTTTGTTATTTTACTGGTCCCCAAAAATCTGGATTATCACGTAAAAGTGTAACTCGTTGTAAAGTTTGTCCTGGTATTGGTAAAATAACACAACGTAATTTACTCATTATTTCACCAATATTAATATCTAATTCTTCTCTATAGAATATTTTCATTGATATATAAATTTTATTACAAATTGTTTTTTTTTTTTGAACTTACAAAATTGGTCGATTATCATCAGTATTTAAATCATCATCATCATTTGTTGTATCAAGTAACCATCCATAACCTTGTTTATCTAAAGTACCACCAAGCCAACCACGATGACGTATTTGATTATCAAATTCTGTTTTACCTTAAAAGATAAAAAAATGATTTTGTTTTTTTGTACAATAAATTAAAAGATAAATATTAACCAGTATATCCTTGTGATATTGGTATTTGTGTTGAACCTGATTGATTATCTTGTGGTAGAGTAAATGTATCACTCATAAATTGAAAATTATCCGATGGCGGTGGTGGTGGTGGTCGCTCTGATGGCATTGAAAGGCTAACATAAGCTGATTGCTCATTAGTACTCATTATTAATAAATAATAAAAGATCTAAAATAATATTAGTATAACAATATAATAAGAAAATGTAATTGATCTGAATGTGTAGGTTTGATTTTTGATCAAATATATATTATTATGACTAAATCAAATTTCACAACTAGTTTCATTACTATTTATTGATAAACTATTATGGGATGGAAAATGAATTAACAATAAATCAAGATTGATATCGATTTTTATGAGAATTTAAAAAGAATTTTCTTAATTGACCACGTATTTCTATACTAAGAAATTCAATAAAATATTTTAATATTAGTAAATATATAGTAATTATAAATACAAGTCAATCATAATTAGGAATAAGATTTATTCAAGAAAAATGATCAATTAATTAATCATTATAATACTAATCACTTATTTCATTATAAATTTCAACTTTTTTTTTTTTTTAAAGATTAGAAATGTATTTGAATATGTGAAAATTTAAAATAGAATTGAAAGATTTTTAATTGTAAATAATATAAATTTGAACATGCCGATAAAATAGTTTTATAAACATAAAAATCAATAAAAACCAAGTTTTTTAAAAATACATAATGATGATATTTGTGTTCATTGTTTAAAATTGTTTCATATTTAAATAGATTACAACATTTTACTTTTAAGAAATATATTAGAAAAATTTTTTTTGTTTTATAGATAAATAACATATTATATAATATATATCTGAAATAGAAAGAAATTCTAAATAAAAAAAAGTTATTAATATCAAATTGTTTTAATAATTTATTTTGTTAGATAATATGATAAATATTTTTAAAATCATCAAGATTAATATTATCAATTATAATTAGACTATGAATATAATAATCTATATCAATATATTGATTATTTTCAGATATAGTAAGATGAATAATTATTAAGAGATTATATGAAAATACTAATATAATAATTAAGATTATAGAATAATTAAAAAATATTTAAATATATGAATTAGTATTTCATTTGATAATAATTCAAATGTTAAGAAATTTTCATTCATGAGTAATCTACCAAAAAAAAAAAAGAACTAACTATTAATTTTCTGTAGAATGAATAGATAACATCAAATAATTGATTGAAAACTACTTAAAATTGAAAATAAATTCTGTTATTCTTGAGAAATTAGATACACATATAAGAATTCTACTAATTATATTAAATATTCCAAGATTAGATAATAATTTCCAATGACAAATATCATATGTTTTTGATTAGTATGTAATAAAAGATTTTATTGAGTATCTATCTCATATTAAAATAGAAATACATTTAGAAATTGCTAAAAAATTATAAATTTAACTTTAAAAATATGTAATAATAAATAATTATATTTGTTTACTAATATATAACTTATTTTGCCTAGTTCTATAAAAAATAAAGATAACAAATATTTGAAAAATGGTTTATTATCATAAATAGTCATATTATCTTTAATTTTCGAAAACAAAAATAAGTTCAAATTGATAAAACGCTTGAAAAAAAATCGAATAATAATTCATTTAATTAATTTTCCCATCGATATAATTCTCTTCCCAAATGTACAATTAAAAGAACAAAAAAATTCATACCTATAGTAATAAAAGAATCGTTTAAATATAATCAAAGAATATCTTCCTAAATATAATTATTACAAACGATAAGAGATTGATGTTAATCTAAATTATTCGAGACAATTTAATGATTGTTTTGTAAAGATATTTTTTTTTTTTTGACGTAGATATACAAACTCCCCTATTGCTTAAAATCATATTCAATCTTGATTGTAGAGAGCATTAGGAAGAGATGGCGCTCAATATCAATCTAAGTTGATTGTGTTAAATTGACATAATATTTTTTTTTTCAGTAATTTTATATTTTCAATCTTGACGTATAAAGATTTCTTTTAGAGTAAAAAAAATATAGTTTAAATTTTTTTAGTAGAAAACAATTTGAATTTTTATGTAGAAAATATTAATAAAGTTCTTATATCGTGTATTTTCTATTTTCATATTTAAGATATTTATATCTAAACAAATAAAAAATATCATTTATTAGTTGTTCATTTAACTTTCAAAATTTATTGATAAATGTTGAAAATATCAGATAACTTTGTAGGTATTAAATGTTGTTAGATATCCCGAATACGTTCATCAGTCATTTTCGAGAGCAATATTTTATATAGTTATGAAATTTAGGTCATTGTTGATGCAGAAATCTTCGGATAAATTCACTATCTCACATCCAAAAACTTCTCAACTCTTTGATAATTTATAAGGATATCTTTAATTCCACTAACATCATATAAGATGAAGATTATGATTATAGATATCAGATTCAAAAGTAAGATGCATTTTCTCATACTTATTAAAGTAGTTAGAACGTTAATGTATATTTTTTTAAAGCTTTGAAAAATATTCCAAAGAGAAATTAGAAAAATGTTTAAAAATAAAGCCAATGACTTTAATCAATTGAAAATGGTGCCGTTGGTGAAATATCGTTTGCATATTTCTAGAAAGTTTTAAATAAATATGTTGATCATATATTAAATTATTAACTGCTCTAGTGATGACTTTTCATGATGTGTATATTTGTAAAACTTCATCGTTGATATACTGCTTCTATACTTACCATTAGGAAAGAAAAAATGAAATAGAGAATAAAGCTGCATCTCTTTGCAAGTTTTTTTTCACAAATATACCAATATTCAATCTTTTTAAAAACTTATTCGATCATATCTTTTCTAAATATTACTACGACTTTTCATAGAAAAAAAAAAGAACTATAATGTTGGATGCAAAGATATATGAAGGAAGAAGACACTCTATCTGTTACAATAATTGAAATTGATATCACTGAGAATAATTAGATGAAAAATGCATTAATCTACTGCTTCATATATGAATCATTAAATTAATATGCGGTGAAATTTTAACCTTTCGATTTTTCTAATCAGTAGTCTAAACTACGAACAAAGAAAAAGCTAGTACAACTTCGAATATAGATTAAATACGGCTTGTAATCGATAGCACTTGCAAGTATACTCATGATATTGATCTCTATCACACCGTATCATGTGCTATATTGTTCAATTGCTTCTGTTATTTTCATGGATAGCATCATCAAATGCTCACTTCAATGATTAATATTTAAATGTATTAGTTTTACAATTTTCAAAAGTTTCACTTTATATTATTTGAATATCACTCAGTTTTATTTTACTTGATTGATCGATTAGTAGCGTAAAAATTTTTGGATTCGATGATTGCCATTGTCTGCTACATATAAATTAAGATTATTGTCGAGAATGACGAAATACGGTTATTTAAGTAGAGTATCATTATGTCTTTGCGTGCCTACAACACCAGCAATTGTTGTACCTGTTTGTGAACCAGAAGAAAAAAACTGAATACGATGATTATAAGTATCAGTCACATATATGTTGCCATAGCTGTCGAATATTACAGTAACTGGATAGTAAAACATAGTCAATGTACTGCCAATTGTTCCATTTGAATTTCCAGCTATCAGCGTCCAATTACTGGCACCTATAGTCCAACGAACAATAATGTTTGCTCCAGCATTAGCAATCATCAAACTATTTGATGATGACTCAAAATAAAGATCAATCGGGTAATTCAGCTGATTATTATTGAAACCAGCTCCATTACCACCAGAAACTACAGTACCGGATAATGCACCTCCCAGATAACGAACAACACGGTGATTGATCGTGTCAGCTATGTAAAGCATTTCAGAGCTGGAATCACGAATCAAATTGTACGGATAACATAGTTGGCTGCTCGAATTTCCACAAGAACCTAGAGGGGAAGTGGTGGTTATTCCAATATTTAAAATAAATCAAATGCAATGCGTCTCATAATCACCATGACTTCAGAGGATCGATCACAACTATACATGATTCATCTTGTTCCCTATCGTGTTTTTTGTTCAGATGTCATTTTTATGTTTTATTTAATATCTTATAATTCTTTGTGAATATCGGAAAATTTTGAATGGAATGAGGATTCGACATCAAAAACTAAATTTACTTGCAATAATAAGGTGTTGAATATAGTGATGAGTGACAAAAGAAAAAAATCAAATGAATTCGTTTATTCTATGCTATATATGTTGATATTTGTTTGGCTTAATAAGAAAACAGAAAGAAACCTCATCAAATGTAATAACACCATCTGATGAACGCACATTTCACCAAATCTATTTCGTCAAGAACTATGTGAAAGAGAATTAATGTTGTTCTGACATTCAAAACCTACTTATTATTGAATTTCTCACAATTTTCTTCCAAGAAGTTAAGAAATAAAAAAAAACATTAATGTGATGAAACGGACATCAATGTTGATATATCTCGAATTTATTGATGAAAATAAACATTTCCATCAATTTTAATACCCATTTCATCATTCGAACTAACATTTTTCGGTGTTTTTGATATACAACTCTTGAAAAAGATAAATTTTTTCTTTCACTTATCGATTACATAGACTCCACCGTTTTCTTGGTTATTAAAAAGGCTTTGAGTATCTAATATACTACTACTCATAATCAGTACCACTTGACTCTATCAACGAATATATGTTGTAATGAAATTCAAGATTAAAATTTGTTCAAAGATCGTTTGGTTATCTGTGGACAAAATAATCTGCAGACTATCATTTAGCCATTATATCTCACTGCAAATCAATAAAGAAAAGTCAATTTTATTGGCGGTAGAACGATGACTTTTCTGTCTTCAACATTTTTAACATAACAGAGTACACTAGGAAAAATGACACAATAAACATTGACATCATTATCGAACACTCGAAGTTTTCTTATGTTTGAATTGAACTATTATTTCTCCTTCCATTGAATAGATCTGTGCTATTCCATTGACTCTTTCAGTCAGAAAAAGCCTTGACCAGAGCAAAAATCATCCACTAGAGACGTGTTTTCATTTGCAATACTATTTAACAGATATTACATTTGGAGATGAATTCTTTTGATTATTTGCTTTTTCGTATGAAATTGAAAGACATTAGTCATCGATCGAATTATTAGTAGTTATATGTGGAATTTGAACTTTCATACTCATATTTCACAATGTGCACGAGACAAGTTAAATCAAACTTTTGTCATGTAAGCAGTGAAATTTACGTGCGTCAGTCATGCGAATACTGAATAAGTTTTGAATTTCTTCTTTATTACAACAAAAGAAAATTGATTATGAAGCCATTTCTCACAGTCAATTGACTTTTATTTAGCTACTTTACTGCGACGCTCACGTCAATGGTGAATAATTGATTTTCATTAACAGAAAAAAAACTAAACATACAGAATTTTGAAAACATTTCATGACATAAAATGTTGCGACTGTTGCAGCAAGATAATTTTATTGACATAAAATTTTCCTTTGATTGTCAATATAGTGTTTTGTTTTGAATATCATCGATCTTTTGAGAATATCTAAAAATCATTCATGTGTGTACGGGTGTGAGCGTGAACCAACCCAAAACACTCAAGCATTCACATCCATACCGAAATCGACTCGGGGAAACTATAAGCGAAATTTCAGAAGAAAAATATTGAAGCAGCGTACAAGTGTTTTTTCCGTACAAAATTAATTTTTTTGTAAAATATATGTGATCCGGTGTAGATTTCTACGCTGAGTGTGAGTATGCTATCTATTTTGCTTTCCATCTTAGTTTTGATTATAAAAATTGCAATAAGCAAAGCTATTTTTCGTCAACACTAAAACAAAATTTGAAAAAAAAACTAAAGAGTTACTTTTGTAGTTCGTAAGAAATTGATTCAAATCTCAGAAAATAATATTTCTTTGCTGATTTTTTGTAATGCTGGATTACAAGAAAAACTACTTTCAAAGAGTTAAGAAAAAAGAATATAAAAGTTTAAGAATTGGTTTTGAAAAGTGTGTTTCTGTTCATATCTGTGACCTTATCTGTATTTAGGACTTTTCACAACCAACCATTCAAACTTTATCAAGTCGTATGTAAATTAGTGAAAAATAAAGTTCACTGGAATTTTGCGTTGTATGCACTCGAACACATGGGAATACTAGTCAAAGTAGTTATTTATCTTCCAAAGCGCATCGTGCTATAACATTTCCTCATAACTTTATATACGGTTTTTATAGTTTTTTAAATTTTCTATCGTATAGTATATAATTTAGAATCATGTATTTAGTTTAGAATTTTAAAAATATACAAAAAGTAACTTCAACGGTAAGAAACTTTTTTTTCTGTTGAATGTCTCTTGAAAATACTGTTTCGTTTACTAGAAGTAGAACTTCATGGTGTATCTCTCTAACATAGCACTTTTTCTACTGTAATGGATTTTTCATCTGAAATTTTAGATAAGTTTTAGAAAAAAATTGTCGTACATACAACGCTGGTCGCTCTAAGAAACTATATGAGAAATCAGGTCAAAACTTGAGGATGTGGGTGTGGGGTGTGGCTTGAGAGTGGGAGTAAGTAATCTTTTCTTTCACTTCCACACCCACATCATCACCCACACCCATGGAGTTCGAGTGTCATTAGTGTCTATTTTAAAGAAGATACAGTAGTACGAGACAAAGAAGATTATTTCTTTTACTGTATTATTAGCCAATACATCAATGAAGAACTGCGCTCCCATGTCTCCGATTCTATTCCGTTGAAGATCAAGAGTAATGAGTGTCTTAATCGAATCAGAAATAAAAACAAAATGAGCTGTGAGATGAAGAGTATTAGTTTCTCACCGTATTGTTTCTCAATGCATCAGCCAAATGCTGTATACCAGCGTCTCCAATTTGATTCCATGCAAGATAGATTGTCGTCAGGGTCTATGTCAAGGAAATGATCTAACTTTTCGATACATGATGAGAGAACTGCTTTAATCTGATTGTGTATTAATACGTCGGCTAGATATTCTATGCCGACATCTCCAATTTCATTGCCGAAGAGATTGAGTGTTGTGAGTGTCTGTATTGAACACATACAGTAATCTTCAACTGATAACGAAATCTGTTCGAATACCTTATTGTGTCTCAATGCATTGATCAGTCGTTCAAACCCATTAACGCTGATTTGATTCCATCTGAGATCGAGCGTTACAAGTGTCTATGTCAGAGAATCCAAGACTATAGAACAGAAAAGAAGTTAGAATCTCTCACTCTATTATACCACAATGCTATAGCCACTTGTTCTAAGCCAAAATCTTCGATTTCATTGCGTCCGAGATTCAACGATTTGAGTATCCATACCAAAGAAACCATAAGCTTTTCAGACAAACTAAAAGACTTGTTTTATTACTATGTTATGTCTCTAATGCATCAGCGATATATTATGCATCATCGGATCCGATTTGGTTCCCTCCAAGATTCAGTGTTACAAGTGTCTGTACTAAAAAATGTACTAGAATAAATATTTACTCATGGACAGAGTGGATATGCTTACCAAATTGTTCTTCAAAGCATCAGCTAAGTGTCGACTACCATCTGTTTCGATACGATTCTTTTCTAGATCGACTGTGGTGAGTGACCGTATGTAAGACATCCAAATAGATAATAGGAATCATAAGAATTTTTCTCACTCGATTCTGACTTAGAACATTAGCTAGATTTAGGGCTCAATCATGTTCAATTTGGTTACTTCCGAGGGTGAGTGTTGTCATTGTCTGCATTAGAAAATATCAAAACATACATACTATATATATTAACAGAAAAGAAAACAGGAACTTCTCTTACCGTGTTATGTGCCAATGCATCGGCTAAACACTCTGTTCTGTTATCATGGAGCTGATTCCCTCCAAGATTGAGTGTGGTGAGTGTCTGTTTTAAAAAGATAACAGCAATGTCAGAACGATAAAGAGATCACTCTTCGTACCATATTATTTATTATTAGATTAGCAAGTTTTGCTGCTTCAATGGCACCGATATAACTTCCACCAAATCTGAGCGTTGTGAGTGTCTGCACCAAGAAAACAACCATCTTGCACAAACAAATCAACTATACTCTATTCTCACCTTGTTGTGGTTCAATGCATCAACCATCAATTGTATTCCAACGGTTCCGATTTGATTGTGTGTTAGCTCAAGTGCAGTCACTGTCTTAGTATCAAAGCAGAAGCACATGAAGCGAATATAGATCTGAAGTTTCCTACCGTATTACTACGTAATAGATTAGCCAAGTGACGTGTTCCAACATCTTCAATAGGATTGCCTCCGACTACGAGTGTCATTAGTATCTGTATGGTGAAACATTCGAAATTGTTATGAAGAGACAATTTCTCCTAACTTATTGTGTCTCAACATATCAGCCCGAAATCTTGCACCAACAGATCCGATCTGACTATTTCTCAGAATGAGTATATTCAGTGTCTGAGCAAAAGAAAGAAAAACAAGACATTAGGACTACGAGAGAGAGAAAATGTCTCCCCGTATTTTCAATCAATGCTTTAGCCAGTTATACGATTCCACCATCTCCGATTTGACTTTGTTCGATTATAAGAGTAGTTATAGTCTATGTAACCCAATGGCAGCATTGATAAGCTAAAGAAAAACAGAAGATCTCAGGTTGTTATTTCTTAATGCATTGACTAGATGTTGAGCTTCTAGCACATCGATTTTTCGCCCTTCAAGAGTAAGTTTGGTGAATTCCTAAATGAAAAGATCGAGATCAAATTTATGAAAATGTAATAGATGTATGATTTGTATCTACTCACAGTATAGAATAGTTGGAAGCTTATTATTT